GCTCTGCACATCTGAAATAACTTATTTTAACATTTTCCAAACACTGTCAGCATCGGACAACAGCATAAATTATATCGCTGCATTCGAGGCACCAGAAAAAAAAAACCCAGTGAAGTGCCAGATGAACATTAGATCTTCAAGTTGGAGAGTTTATCTCTCGGGTTTTCCAGAACACTGATGGGAAGTGATGATTTTAGCATCTACTTTTATTAGTAGCCAGCGAATCATGACACCAAAAATAGCTTTACACCCCCCCCCCCCCCCGACAGACAGGTGTTTTAACATTCACATTCACAGACACGAAAGTTTTCACTTTCACTCTCAGGGCCTAATGATTTGCTCCCTCTATCTACTAGACGGCCTATTTGTGATTTATTTGCACATGTTTAGTGGGTGGAAAAGCCACGCAATAGAGTTTGGTGTCGAAGGATTGAACAATCATTGACTAGCTGACAGATAATTTGATGTTAATGTTTGCTGGTAAGTCCAAGTGTTAACTCGGGCCCTGACCCAGATTCTGTATAAAAGACAGAGGACAGAATGAGGCTCTGTTGGCTGCTCTGACGCTCTCTGCTCTGGTGATAACTATCTGTGAAGTTGGCTACATCACTTCAGAATCAGTACAGCAGTCCGACCTGTTGATCGTGATCTTTTTGGCTGACAGCCTGCAGAAGAATTGCTCGGGGTGTCTGACAGAGCAGATCCAGGCTGCTACGCCAAACTCTGCTCTCCCTTTTTATAACTGTTGTTAAAAATGTTCAATACTTCGATACATTTCAACACCACCTTTTAAAATTAAAAGAAATCTCTGTGAGATCGACAGAATCAACAAGTCCTGAGACTTTCACAAATAGTTCAGATCTCCATCAAAGCTGCTCAAAGAGAAAGAAAGGGAGCACAATGGTCCACTCTACTGAGGTCTCTGAAGTCCTTTTGGTGTTTCATAAAGACACAAAAGTTACATTTATGTCTGGTACAAACAGACAGAGAGCAGAGGAGGTGACAATGTCTGTGTGCAGTGTGCACGAGTTTGTCTGCACAATTATCAAATATTGGGTGGTATGGACTTATTTTAAATGATGTGGTATTATAACAGTTATCCAACTGTCTGCTTTAAATGGAACTGTATTAAAGTATAACATTCAGGTATTGTGTCACCTTCTGTGCATCCATGGTAGGATTTGTGTTCTGTGGTTATGTTTAGAGTCTTGTTGTTCCTGTAGTAATAACAAGTGCATTAATCCAACTTTCTAATAAAGGAGAAAATTAGCATCTAGTTACCATTACTTCTAATGTAAGTTCTAAATAATTACCGTCCTAGCTTTCAGTCAGGTGACCGACACGGACGCTTGGAGGGCAAAAAAAAAGCTTAAAAAAAGAAATGGCCACCACTGCACACTCTGTCTCCAAGTGAACTTCACTTTGATGATGTTTTCTTCTATCTGGTAAAGAATCATTTCCCTTACACCGCTGCCATGAAAGTCTACAAAGTTATGGACAGCTTTATGTATTTTCAAAGTTGCTGGTTCAGTTCTTCATAATCAATGCATAGGTGAGTGCTAATTAGCTAACATGAGCTCGTTACCGTGACCTTACGATAGTATCAGGATCACTGTCAGCGGTCTCTTTCAGTCTGTGTTCTTCTGGGGCAGACATTTTAGTTAAAAAGGTTGTGAAATTTTAATCAAGTTAACACAATACTTAATGGCAGGAGACTGAGACACATTGCACAAAAACATTGGCAATGTTACAGCAATGTCTTTGTGCAATCTATCTTCAGCTCGTGGCACTTTAAAACAAGTAGTATTGAAAATATCTGATTTTTTGACCACCTCAGTTAGCTCTTCAATGGTTTAGATTAGAGCTTCACTAAAATGTTAAGCTGCCCACATTCACTGACTGATGTTTTTAGTCTGAGTTGACACAGACATCGTGTATCACCACCTGTTGCTCATTCAGCATTTGTTGTCACACATTCCTCTGTAAGAAAATGGTGTAAACACACGCTTACTACAGCTGTGTGTCGGCAGACAGAGGGAGGACGTCCTGCTGGCTGACACACAGTGCGGGCATGTTGGCCTTCAGCAGACTGTTGGTAAAATAAAGAAGTGGCTGTGTGTTTTAAACATTGATTATAACCGCTCTCAGCCTGAGATCAGCTGCAGCTCTCCCTGGCTGCAGAGTCTATTTCTGCCCGTTGCTCAGAGCACAGGGGGTTACAGAATGCTATGCATGCTGGAGGAGGGGGTATGGGTGGCAAGGCGTTGTCTGCAGTCCCCCACCCTTCCTCCACCCTCCCTCCCAGTGTCCGGTGTGATTTATGGAAACAGGAGGTCTCATTTTAAAGCTCCAGCCCCCTCGGCCTGCTGCTTGCTGACCGCACAGAGCAGCCGCTGCGTCTCTCTGAGATGGACTGACCTCTTCTCTTCTCACAGATCTTTCGAGAAACACTCACGGTCACACTAAGTGGTTAAAAAGTGGGCGGGGTAAGAGGGATGCTGTAATGCACTAACAATCACATTAAAGTCACTTTGCAGACACTGTGAACAATCACACCCTACATGAACTTGTTTCTTTGATTTGTTTCCGCCATCACAGGTCGTTAGAACATTGCCAAAATACCAGTTTTTTGTTTTTTTTAAACTTTGGTATAATTCTAGTTAAAATCAAATTCTATTGATAGCTGTTCAGATACCGTGTTGCAAATTCAAAAGACCTCTAGACATCCTAGATTGGGTCATTTCTTTATTATAATGTCAAACTCCTGCACACTGCCTTGTGCCTTCATACACTGGAACATTGGTTCCAAACCTGGGGTCCGGGGCCCTGCCTGAGATCTTGGATGGGCGAGGCTCTGTCTGCTTTTATGATTTTGTCAAAATGAGATTTAAGGAAAAAAAGGTTTGGAACATAGACTGTAAATTAATTAATGGACGGAGCCTGAGTGACGTCAGCCATCTGTCACAGCAGGGGGCTCTGGAGGCTCATCAGCAGCAGCCGCCATGCTGGAAATGCTGTCTCAGCCTAACATACTCTGACACACCCCCACCACGGTCCGTTCACTGCCACTCTAGTCAATGATTGTTTAGTTATTCATAACCATTACGTCAAAACAGGCACCAAACGAACAACAATGCCACGTCAGAAAGACAAAGTAACGTGTTTTTAGAATGTTTTTCACTTTATTCTCAGGCTTTAAGCTTTCAATCATGTCAGCTACGTGCCTAACTATGGATAGAAAGTATCGATCATAAAATCAGAATGGAGCCATTCTGCCAAACAATTCAGACCCCATACAGTCTGTGCCAGTGATGACAATAACTAATCCGACCCATTTCGTTTTTTTTGTACCAGGCTGTAAAAATGTTGCCACTTGGTTGGGAACCATCGCATTAGAAGACTTTTTAAAACTTTAAAAACTTGAATGACTTTGAAAGAGAAATCTCTGAAACTGGTTTCATATGACGCGTTATGGAGCCTGACGTCGGCGGCCGCCATATTGGAAATGCTGTCTCAACAGCAGCCTCAGTCAACCTATAGTGGCCGGCAAATAACTGGAGCTGAGTCAGATCTAAGGCCTCCTGACAAACAACAACAACCAGTCTCCCTCTCAGTCAACTCAGCCACGCCCCTTATTATGAAAAACTGTTATCCTTTATATTTAGTCAAAACGGATGAATTATTTAAAAAAAACAGCCCTGTGCAGTGTGTGAGGACAAAGACATGAGCTATTTTAAACTAAATTGCACATGGCTTTAAACATGTTTATTTCTGCTGTAAATAGACTTTTAATATGGGACCAAATGGAGATCGACTCACTTTTGATGCCAGGCTCAAATTGAAACTGAAGTCAGTTTTTAGCACTTCCACACTGACGTCATTTTTAAACATTGGAGGTTGTTGCTTGTCAGAAACCAATGGATGACGTCACTGACAACACCTCCATGTTTAATGCAGTATGTCCGACAGCTCCACCCTCTTGTTAAAAAAAAGACTCCAACAAACCAAGATGGCCACAGCCTAAAAGTGAAACTTAACATTTTTTAAACTGTAATCCACAAACAGATGTCACTGTCTCGGGAAATACCTTCATACACAGACAACCAATCAGGCAGCTAAGCTTCTTCAGTTCAGTTTCTATTGTTATAACTAAATATGGAGTGGGTGTTATGTTTTCTATTGAAGAGAATGACTCAGAGTGAAAAAGTTTGAAAGAATCAAAGAAAACAGATGACTGTGAGTAAAAACTAAAACATCCACAAATGTTTCCATGATCCATCACCCAACACTGGGCCTTGACTCACCAAATGGAAACCACCTTCCTTGGGTCCCCCTCACACACACACACACACACACACACACACACACACACACACACACACACACACACACACACACACACACACAGAGGGTGGAAGATGTAATCCAAACAAAGCCGTTATCCAAAACCTAGCAGGCCAACCTCCACGTCTCAGACTACTAAACATTTCTGAAAGTTTTCAGCAGATAATCGATCTTCTCATTGGTGACCTAACCCTTATTTTAAATGTTAAGGTGTGTGTGTGTGTGTGTGTGTGTGTGTTCGCTGCGGTGGTCGGGGCGGATTTTCGGTCACTTTTCACGTTGATTTAAAGACTCTGAGGTGCTGAAACTAAAAGTGGCTGTGTGTGTGTGTTGAGGTTAAATACATTATCCACACACGCCTTTCTCGACATGTTTTTGCTGAATTTCTCCACATCTCCTAGCGGTGAGAGCGCATGCGCGGTTATTCAGACGTTATAACGGTAAACGTGTAAATCTCAGGTATGAACCATTAGTTTAGCTATGTTTCATGTGTTCATTCATGTCGGACTGACAGGGTAAACCAGGCTAAAACACACCAAACAAACACCGCTACAGACAGAAGAGAGGCTGCACTGCGTGTACACACACACACACACACACACACACACACACACGTAAAAAAGACAAACACAGCGATTTAAAAACAAGCTGCTCACCCAGAAGATGAAGTTGAAGAAGAAGAGCATGTACTTGATGCATTTGGTGCAGCCTTCAACTCCCATTGTTGATCCGTAGGGGGGGTCGAGATTCAGCGAGGATATCAGAGTAGACAGCGGGGGGAGAGTGGTAAGGACGGCGGCTAACGGACTGGACCAACACTGTCTGACTTCAGCTCCGAGACACCAAGGCAACACCCAGTCCCTCCTCCCGCCTCCTCCCTCATCTAACGGCGCACCGCAACTTCCGGTCGAGACCTTTCAAAGAAATCACCGAAGATTTCTGGAGAGTAAATAATAAACAGTCTCTGTATTCTAGGTGTGAATTTAAAATGAACTAAAGATATTGCACCCTAATGTTAAGGATATGCACTCAGTGACAAAACCTCCCCATCACACATCAGGCGGTTCTAGGCAGGGGCCAACAGGGGCCAGTGCCCCTGTAATACTGAGCTTGGTACCCCCTCCAACACATACACTGTATTTGACTCAACAACCGGACTCACAATCTAGTATTAAATACTGTTACTGAAACAAATACAAATCATGGTATTTAATGATGTTTAAAAGTATATTATTTAGCATAATATATTTTTAAAGCGATCATCTTTCATTTTCCCCTCTGAGAAAACAACTGGCCCCAGTTTGGCCCCCTCAGTAAAAGTGGTCTAGAACCACCACTGCACACACACACAGATTCATCTCCATTCGTAGACAGGGGTGTGTCCAGAGGGTCGGGGCATGGGCCCTCCATACAATCTTATCGGCCACCCACGGACGCACGCATAAGTCCCAAAAGTCCTAACAGTTGCCCTATTCAAACTGCGATTTGTAGGAGTGATATTTACGCCCATATGATGTCTCGCCCTCAATCTGAACGTAGCAGATGGGGGGAGGGGGGAAGGGTAATAACCGTGTTCGGTGGTAATAACAGAGGTGAGATGGATTGAGTCAAATAACAAATAAATGCCAGTACAGATATTAACGGTCTTATTGCTGATGGTCTTGTTTGCTTATGTAGTTCATAATAAGACATCAACAATAGAATTGAAAGTTTATTTATGAAGAACATTTCAATACAGGCAAGGTTAATGTGCAATGCATAAAAAACACAGGAATACAAGAATTAACAAGTTATTTCAACCTTAATATAATCACATCAAACACAAAAAAGCACGAGTAAATATAAAAACCTAGAAAACATTTCTGCACAAACAAAAACACGAAACAAGACACACAAATTGTGATGGACCTCAGCTCAATGAGTTCTTCTAGAGAGAAGGATCACAGTAACTAATGGCCGACTCTCTGGACTTTGATCTAATTCTTTTTTTTAAGATTTATTTTGTGCCTTTAATGTAGAGCTAGGACAGTGGATAGAGATGGTAATCAGGGAGAGAGAGAATGGGGAATGACATGCATGAAAGGAGCCACAGGTCAGATTTGAACCTGCATGGGCTGCCTGCTCGGAGGACTACAGCCTCCATATGGGTCACGCGTGTACTAACCACTGCACCACCAGCGCCCCCACCTTTGATCTAATTCTGTGTACTAAAAGGCCTTCAGTAATAATTAAAGTCTGTTTCATATCCAGCTAAAAAAATCTTTACAGAAGCATGTTGTCAAAAACTTCTGAGTCAGATTTGACTTTCTGTAAACTTTCTTAATAAGTGGGACCATGATTAGAAACAAATATGAATTAGCGATGAAGATTCTGGGCTGCCGGTAGCCTAGTGGTTAGTGCACGTGCCCCCAGCAAGTGGCCCTGGTTCAAATTCAGTAAATAAAAGCCCAAATATTAAACCTTTAAACAAAAGAGAAGAAGATTCTTTTTTTTTAAGTTAAATAATAAATTGTATTTGTTGTGCATACATTTGAAATATAAAAAAGGTGAAATATTGGGAATAGCATACAGCACTTTTAGCATCATTGCAGGTTGGATGTATTAGTGCCAGAGTTTTTATCTGAAGCTGTAAATCAGTCAGAGAGAGCACACTAAACAAATAGACACAGTCCATGATATCTAAAATGAACAGAACTTCTTTAAAAAAAAACACACAGGCACATTCTTCACTTAGATTATCATCAGGACACAGAGAGAGACAGAAAACAGATCCACTCCCTCACATGTTCCTTCAGAAGATATTCACACCATGTTCATCATAGAACAGTGTAATGATGCTAACACAGAGCTAACAGAGACACTTCAGCATCACACATTGTTCAGGTAGTGACGGAGGACAAGGTTTTAAAGAGTTTAAAGTTTGAGCCATCAGAGTCGTTTGAGCCAATCAAGAGCCGCCACCTGCATCATACCAACACAGACACACACGGCGATCAGCACGGCCCTCAGGCAGGAAGGGGAAACTACACAAGCATAAAAACTACAAATGCTCTTTGTGACAGTTAAAATAATTCCTGTATTATGGATGCTATCAGTCTGATTTTGTAACATTGTAACATTTTAGTTGAACCTGAAGATATGATCTGTAGTTTTGTGACAACAATTTTAGCCAGTTTTGGAGTATCATGTGAATAAATTCTGTCTGTGCTCATCATCAAGGACCCCTGCTCTTCACCCTGTACACACATGACTGTGTGGCCACAAGCAGCTCCAACATCATTGTGAAATTTGCAGATGACACGGTGGTTGTTGGTCGCATCAGCAACTATGATGAGCAGACGTATACAGGGGAGGTTGGAAACATGTCACAGTGGTGCCAGGACAACAACCTGCTCCTGAATGTAAGCAAAACCAAGGAGCTGATTGTGGACTTCAGGAGAGGACTGCAGAGAGATTACACCCCTCTGAGAATTGATGGGATGCTGGTGGAGAGGGTGTGCAGCTTCAAGTACCTGGGGGTGCACATCTCTAAGGATCTCACATGGACAACCCACATAGACAGACAGGTGAAGAGGGTGAGGCATCTCTATCACCTCAGACAGCTGAGGAACTTCAAAGTCTCTGTGAAGGTCCTGAAGACTTTTTTATTCCGGAGCGGTGGAGAGTGTGCTGACTGAAAACATCACCCAGTGGTACGGGAACAGCACTGTACGTGACTGAAGAGCCTTGCAGAGGGTGCTGAAGTCAGCAGAGCGTACTATGGGTACAACACTCCCCACCCTCCAGGACATCTTCACAAGGAGGAGCACAGCCAGGGCAAAAAGGATCATGAGTGATCCCTACCACCCAGGTAAGTGACCGTTTAAGTGGCTACCCTCTGGCAGGTGCCTTGTACACATCAAGGCGAACACAGAAAGACTCAGGAAGAGCTTCTTTCCTCAGGCTGTCCGGACTGTTAACTCCACTCTCCTCAGTTAAAAACAAAACATAACTGTGACTACATGATGCACACACACCACACATTCCAATCTGCACATTGCACTTTGACACCCTGCACACTTTACACACTGACACTTTACACTGTTTACATTATTCTATATTCTATATTTTGTACATTCAAATCATTATTTTTTTAATTTTACATTATATTCTATTTTACTGTATTTATGTGTATTAGTAATTTGAGTGTTTATTGCATGGCCTTGCGGAACAGTCTTTACATTTCACTACACATCTGTATGAGCATGTGACAAATAAAAATCTTGACTCTTGAATCTTGAATCTTGACAATGATGCAACTGATAGAGTTAAAGATGAAAAGTTTTATTTAAAGTTTTTTTTATCTAGATACTCGTGAAAGTAAACTTATGAAATGAAACATTCAGCTCAAGGTATGACATCATTTTATAATTTCAAGTCTAATATTTTCAATATATTATTCACAAGTACAGTTTTTGATGAATTTCAAATACTATCATTATATAAAATCAACATCTGAATAATATTTCTCTGAAAAAAATCTAGGAACAAAACAGCATTAAAATTACTGTATTTTGGTTTATATTTTAAGTAGAACCACTCAAAGCAGGATTTTGTTTTCACACATTTGGTCATCACATTGAATCTATTTTCAGTGCTCCTGCTGAAGTCTGCTGTCATTTGTCAGCTCTGAGCAATGCTGTCTGTCCTGACCCATCAGCTTCTGTCTTTCTGAGGACGTTTAGATTCTGAAAGTTATGAGTCCATCAGAACCAACAGCTAACAGGGACCCCCTGTGGTTCTGTCATGTTGTAACTGGATGTTTTTATCACACTATCAGTGATTTGTGAGGAGATCAGAGCAACAGGTGCAGTGTGATCAGATATCTAATATTACTCCACTTTGAAGTTATAATCAATATAATATTGAAAATGAGCCTGTCATGATGTGTGTTATGGATCCTCTGATCACTGATCTCTCCTGCAGCTCCCCCCTGTGGACTAAACCTCTCTGCACAGGTGATGTGTAGGATGAGGATCTCTTTATTGACTATTATTGATATATTAACTACCGTACCATTTTTCTTCAAATTGAACTCGTTCTATCACCTTACCTCTAAATAAGTCCACATGATAAGTCATAGATATTCTTTGTTTTTATGTCAGCCATGTTTGTTCTTGTTTTGGGTGTCATAAGTGTTTCATTTTTTAACTGTTATAAAGGTTTTTGATAAAAGCTGAGAATGATGGAGAAGTTTAACTTTGAAGTTTAAACTCTAATACAGTTAACACCTGAGACACACATGTATAAATTGTGTATAAATTAATTTCACGCAAACTGATCACTACAGTGGACAGTTCTTCATAAACTGTTTTATTGGGTTCTGATGTGATTGTTTCACATCAGCCACTACAGTCCACGTTAGTAAATCACTCCACACTTCCACACCATTCCTTTATTAAATTGTAAATTTCAGTTTTTTAAAAACAAAAATAATATGTTGTGCAAGTTATATAGAGAGTTTCATTTGATGTGTTTCTATGAAAAGAGCTCAAGTCTGAAAGTCAAGCTCATGCTCTCCCATAATATTTGCTCTACTATTAAATGTCTGCTGTTCTGGCAGCTTCCAGTTAAAAACTGTTGAGGAGGTTTGATCCAATCAAGATCCCCCCTGTTAGACAGGAAAACCTTCAGAACTCAAATTCAAGAACTCAATATGATTCTCTCTATCCAGTGCACAGGTGACAAACTGAACATGTGTCCATTCAAATATTTTTTGTGTGTTTTTTTCCCTTTATGCATTACAAAAAATATGACATCAAATGTAAAAAAGGAATGAACAACATTATTTTTAACATTAACATTTTTATAATTGACTTTATTTATCACTGCATGTGGAAATATATTAGTGTTTTTTTTAATGTACCACTCTTTATAATTAATAAATAACGCACAACACTCTAGCCAATCAGAATCAAGTAGCTGCTGCTGGTGATACTGATGTATCAGAAAGTTGCTGTTCCACTGAAAACTAGTTAACTACTTTCTCTTTAAATGGAAACATTTCTAAAAAAGACCTCCAGGTGACCAGACTGAACATGACTCAGCCACAAAGACAATTTGAATGTAACGACTGAATAAAAAAAGAGAAAAGGTATAAAAAGACATTTTAACTGTTACCATTGAATAAAATAAAATAAAACATTATTCATTGTTGGTGAAAATAAGAAAATATATGACATTTTGCAAAAGGGGGTCTCCACCACCAGAGGGATATACTTTGATATGCTGGGGTCCAGCATGACAAAGTTTGTGAACCCACTGTCCTAAAGGGGGCTGGCTGGATTAAAGTTGGGGTGAAAAATTGGGTTGCACATGCATAGCTCCCCTAGGAAATGTCTCAAAATGTTTACGAGTTTTAAAGATTTCAGTAGTTTACAGTTTACCAGCTTTCATGCAGTTGTGTAAACTCACCTGGCAGCAGGAGTACCTTCAGTAGAAGGACACAGGAGTGTTAAACATTCAAACAGCATCAACTCCATCCGGTTTAATCCTCTGTCAAAGTCCCTTCATGTATATTTGATAGATGGAGTCACAAACTTAAAGGTTGTGTATTATACTCCTTTTCAACAAGTCTCAGAGCTCCCTAAAACATTGTTGAGAAGTTTCTTGCTAAAAAACACTATGATCCTGTTTTTTATCATGTCTGTGAAAACCCCTCTATTTCAGCCCTGCTCAGAACAGGCTGTTTCTGTGTCTGTACCTTTAAATATGTAAATGAGCTGCATCTGACCACGCCCCCTCTCTGTGGAGTGGGCTTTCTTGCATCATGCCCCCACCTGGGGGAGGGGTTACTGCCCTTTGTGATGTCACAAAGGGAAAATCTCCAAACGGCCTGTTTGAGCACACATTTTCTGAAAAGTAGAGCAGGGAAAAGAAGGAGAGGATGGACTTTTATCATAATTGGGAGGTTTGTAGGCAGGATAGGGACACATATTAGAGTTAGAAAACATTTTGCAAAATAAGTGACCTTTAACTCTTGTGGCCACAGACTGACCAAGAAAAAGAGCATTACTATGCTCTGGTTGTGAAAATCTAAGTCCACCTGCGTACACTTCCTAACATTCTGTCAGAAATCATCCATCAATTCTCAGCTTAAAGTTAAAGATCAAAGGATAAATAACACAGGCTTGTATTTAAATCTGACATTTATTACAAAAGCTTCTGCACCATTTCAGTCAAACAGTTATTTACATGTAACAACAGACATCAGTGTATATAACATAAAGAAGTGCATTCACTAAAACTACAATGTGTTCAACCAAATAAATACAGCTTCTATACAGGAACACACATCTTCTGACCATGGGTGAGTTCATACTGACCTCCCCACAATCATCATCCTCGTAAAGAAAGCCAAAATGTCTTCCTTCTCATTTATTTTTCAAACACAGATTTACATTTTGACAGACTCAGTATGCTCACAGTTATATCCATGAACTTTAGATAAAGAGAAGATGTTGTGTTTGTAAAACCAGCCACTGGTTTTTGTCGACTACTGTTTGAAGCCTTGTGACCATATTTGGGTGAAAGGCTGGAGCTGAGGGTCCATGGAGGCTAAGTCAAACTTGAGTTATCACTTAAGTTCATATAGCTAAATCCGCAAAAATGTCGCCTGGGCTGCTACCATTCACAAGAGCAATACGTCTTTGTGGCCGCCATCTTGGAGAGGGGAAACCACAGATCATAATGATTGGTTTATGAGGGCAGGAGGTCCATGATGAAAAATATTTCATTTATTAAACCCCTGCTGGCTCCGCTGATACATAACTGAAGATTTCTGATCGTCCTATCAGACAGAGTAGTTTCAGATCGAAACACAAGCTGTCCATGATGCTCTCTTATGCACAGTCTCTAATACACAACTTGATTAACTCAGATAAAGACTTTCAAGTGCCCAGTACACACGCATGAATATCAGGACGTAGCCATGAGATTGAGCAGCAGGCAGTAAGTAAAGAAATAAGTACAGACTACCTCTATCAGATTTTAAATACATGGAGCATTATTTCACACGAGATCCCGTTGTTAGTGATATTTTTTATTATTTTTTTAAACTTCAAATTCTGAGCGAAAGAGGGAGAATGTAACTTAGTTTAAGTGTGTGAACAACACTGCAGACTGTAGTCTCTGATAAAGCAACAATACAGTTTGTATCGTTTCAAACTTTCAAAAGGGAGAATGCTGTCTCTCCCAGTACCACAGAGTGCCCCGGTCGTCTGCTATCAGTACGTGGACATGTTTTGGTCGCGGTTATCTGGCAAGAAGTACGTACGGTTTAATGGTATTATAGTTCACACAGCAGCCTCTCCAAAAAAAAAAAAGCAGCCAGTTTCTGTACTGTTTGACACAGTAAGTGGACAGTGACTGATGAAGCTAAAAAGCTGAGTGACCAAGCAGGATGACTAGAGTTAATATTAAACAGGCTCTTCATAATGTTACTTTTTAACAGAATGGTGCTGTCTCATTAAAAACAGCTACTATGTGCATTGTCTGCGCATATGTCTTATGCTTTCCCTTGTCACTCTCATTGCTCCGTTATAAACCATAAACTGGTCTATCACGTCTATCGTTCAAAGTTTGTTGTCTGTAAAGTGTAAAATGTTAAAAAATCAGTATGAGCTGCTGTTAATACTCTATGTATATCTTGTGATACCAATTACTGGGTAATTGAAGATTGGTAGGAAAGAGGCAATAAACTGAATATTCCAGATTATCAAAAGGGTCTCCTGGTTCCAGTAAACCAAACAGACTCCCTTATTAAAATCTGAATATCAGGAGGTCATATCCAACAGTCTGGGATATGAAGTAAAAATGCAGAGGAATGTCTGAATGGTTCTTCTCTGTGATTTTGAATTGTTTGTTTTAGTGATTTTTAAATGTTCTATTTTAATATTTATTTTGATTTCCCCTCTGTCATGCTGCTTTTGATGTTGTGTGTGTTTTTGAATTGCCTTGTTGAAATGTGCTATATAAATAAACTTACCTTGCCTTGCCTATGTATGAATAACAATGAACATTCAACGTCATTAATAAAAGAGGAATTTGCACTTAGGAACAAAGACGTAATCTATGACGTCCAGCTTCCCTGGAGCGCTCAGAATCACAGTGTGACTTTTCCTTTTTTTTCCCCACTTTCTTTTCATTTAGCTACTCTGTCACTTTCACCAAGTAAATAACAAAACAGCTAAATGTTCAACACATCCTTCCCTGTGTGCCATGGGCGTTTTGTTAGTGAACTTTAAGGGTGTTACTAACACTGTATTCAGTCTTCCCTCTGGAGGACACTGCAGGAGTATCCTGTCTGGCATCCTTTTCCGTCCCTTCATCCTTCCCTTGTTCTTCAACCTGCAGCGGAGTGCACATCCATTTCCACGTGTGGAAGCATCTGTCTCATCTCTTGTGGAAGCTGGGACTGTGAATGATCTGAGACAGCTTCCCGAACGCATCCATCGTGTCCACGGGTTCCTCTGTTAGATCTAGACTCTGTCCCGGCTGCTCAGGGATGTCTGGTCCAGGAGGTAAGGCCTGGTACAGGGTGCTGATCCTGGGTAGAAACTGGGCCAAAGCTGGGACGCCTCTGTCTTGATCCTGCAGCCTCTGCCGCTGGTTCCCCAGACTCAGCAGGACGCCGTGTCTGTCTGAGAAGTAGACGTTGTAGCCGTCTGGCAGGATCTGCTCTCTGAAGGTGCAGTTGTCTCTGCTGTATGTGGTCTGCAAAACAATGGGAGGAGGTCAGGTGTTAAACATTTTGTGAGATAAGGTTAAACGTAATAAGATTGCTTCAGCCGGCCGCTATGCAACAGGCTTTAAAAATCTACAACATCATCCTCTGCCTGATCAAAGTACCACTAAAAGTTCTTGTTTTTGTCTTTGACAGGCTGAGATAACTCTGTGCCTAGCATCGAGGCTGGAAGAATTAATCACAAAACATGAGAAAAATGATTCTATGTAAAAAAAAAAGGAAAAGCTCACCCACTCAGCATGATTACAACGTTACCCATGAATGGCTAAAATTTTGTTGCAGTCAGATGATGATCAAGCTAGCTGTTTGCTACCCTCAGATTAACTTGTGCCAATTAAGTGTTGAAAAGAAAATGGTTTTTGGATTTATTTTGGATTCCTGAGGGACATATTGCAAACACAAGTATGTCGTTGAGCATTAGAAGCAGCAGATAGACCTTGAACTGAATTATACCAAATATTCATGTTTTAATTTATATATTACCGGTATATCATATTGTCATTATAATATAAAACAATGTTACCGCATGTTTTTCATGTTGTGCAGGACTAGACAACATTACAGAAATCCCTATCCCTCTTGATAGAGGATGTTTTAAATGAACAGCTCTTACACCACTGCCTACAAAGCCACCAGACTACATTGATAAAAACAGTATATTTACATGATGAACTGGGGCCTCCTGCTTCTTTAACCAATTAGAAACGTTGTGTTATTGTGTGGCTTTTGTGTTTTTGACAGTGAGATTTAACCCATCTTCACAAAATAAATCAAACCAACCTTGTGGGATTGAGTCACCGGTTACACTTGTGTGTATCACAAGTGTATAATAATTCAATTTGACAACATGAATCCTAAACATTCTGTTAGAATTTCATGAATGTTGATTTTAGACCGACGGCCCCCTTCTATCAAACAAAAAAAAACAGACGTAAATGGTGCTGCGAGTTCTTGGACGGCTGTTTGCTTTGGCCACAGCGACACAGCCAGAGGCCAAGGCTGTTGTTGCTGCTGCTGGAGCGCTTTTCATTCAGCTTTTTTTCTCTTTGCAAACACACATCCTGGCTGCAGCACCGCGGACAAAGGTTGATGAACCAGCATCTGTTTGAATGAAAAACCTGATGGGCAGCAAGTGTTTTCTGAACACCAACAACAGACTCAGAGCTCAGGTCAACTCTGATCCTCCTACTGCAAACTCCTTTGAACATTTTCACAAAAAAACAACAACTGCTTCTCCTTTTTCTGAAACTTTCATTGAGCCTCAGGCTCTGTAGTGTTCTGGAAGTTAACTATCACTGTCTGTCCACTGTCTGTCAAAATCACTGTCTTTTCCGTACTATATCTACGGCCCTGAAGCTGCACATAACAGAACTGTAAACCTTGGTATGATTCTAGTAAAAATCAAAAAATATCGATACCTGGTTTGATATCACAGCAACAAAAATAGAAATCCTAGACAGCCAATACTGGCTCCATTTTCTGTTTTTAATAACCAAAGCTTGCAGACAAACTCCTGCACACTGTCTAAATTGCACAAAACATGAAACATTGCCGATATGTTTGTGTAATTTAGACAGCGCTCTCTCTTCTGCTTGCAACACACACTGTCTAAATTGAACAAACACATTGGCAACGTTTACACAGTGTCTCATCTTTTGCTCTCTGTGCGTTTATTAGAGGCATTAATGAACCTTTTGCATCGTTATGAGATGACCAAAAGGACTTCTGAAATGTTTTGTGTGACCTGTGAATTTGAATGCTCTCTCTCTTTCTCTCATTGCAACTTTAAAAGTTGACTGAAGATTTGTATTTTTTTTAAGCTATAGTGCTTTTCAATACTCTCATTTATCAAAGTAACAGCGACTGTATCATTTTAAGAAACATGGTGTCAGAACTATCAAAATATTGACAATTCTGATAAGCCTAAAGAGTCTGTGTTAAATATGAACCTCTGGTCCCAAATCAAAGTCCAACTCATACTATGAAACTCAATCCATCAATTCATATTTGATCTTATAGAATTTAAAACAGCCCAAAGTGATGAAATTAACAAACACTTCAAAAAACGCTTAAAAATAACATTCATCTACTGTTGAATTCTCTCTCTTAAAACAAATGAAAGATGAAATAAAACAGGCTGAAATACTGAAGTAAAGTTGCAGTCTTGAAAGTTGAATTTGCGGTCGCACTTTTCTGAAAAAGTAGAAAAATGTTCTTTCAGTGTAGTTTAGGTAGGAGCTGAAATCAAAGTTCTGGAAGTGTTTTGAAGAGAAGTAAAGCCAGGTGTAACAAGCTGCCTCCACAGTGATCTATACATGTCTTGTTTAACTTTTTGATTTTACTAAAAGACCTGATTCAAAAAAAGATTGTGTGGCTTTGCACCTGCTAAACCTGAAAATGTTCCCCTAACTGTGCTGCAGAGCAAAAATGTGCATGTGTGCACATTTTTTAAATGAACCATTATGCAGATATATGGGGAAAATAAGCATATGAGCCTCACATAACATAAACAACATAAACGACAGCTCTAACAGCCACGTGCAGTTAGAGTGAAAAAACAACTGTTTGTAAAGAGTTGGTGGTAACTGCTCCATAGTACATATAAGAGATGTCACATGCAAAGATTCCTGCTATGAGGGAAAAAATTCCTTCTTTCTATGACTCAAAAAGAAATAATCTCTATATAAAGTCTGTAAATATTATGTTGACATTACTATTATTAATATAATCAGAGGTTCAATCAGTCCGAGGCTGTCAGCAGCTCCACATTTCATCAACATGTGCTGAGCTGTTGATTTTGCAAGGGTGATCTTTGAGTTGTCCTTTCTTGCTCCATTCCATTTTCACATCACATTTTTGGCATCTGGCTTCACAGCAGGGGAGGTGAAACATTTTAATGAAGTTGAAAATGTTTCCCCTCCCCTCCTAACGTTATCATCTTCATGTGGACAATAACTGCTTTGTAAGCATGAGAGTGGACAGCTTTTTGGTTGTTTGTGACTGAGTATTATTAGTTCTATGTGAGTTAGACCTTGAGACGGAGCAGATGGAGGGAGCAAATGATGAACAGTTTTTCAAGCTATTAGAAGCCATAATCCATTATTAATAACTCAGACTGAGTCGTCAGTTTAAATAAAATAATAATCATTATGTGTAACTAAAGTGCACAAACTATAACACGCAGAGGCTGACTAAGCAAGCTCATGTATTGACAAATTATTCTTATTATTGGGGTCAACTGAACTGAATTTTTCTATCTATATGATCCAACTAGCCTACATAAATTAAATGATTCACTGAAATATTCAGCCTTGTAACGCGACTTAAATCATTTTGAAATGAACTATTCAGTTTCTAAAGGTATGGTTGATTTTATGCAGCAGTTATCTGTTTCAGCTGAGCACAATGTCACAGCAAAAAAAAGTCAACTCAATAATAATTTTTAGGATAGTTGACTTGAGAATATTTATTTTCATTCTTATGTTGTCACACCTATTATTTCTCTGTTTACCTCAGCAGCATCTTTCCATAAGTCACCAGTGACCCCTCTATCTTTGCGCAAACATTTCCACTTTGATAGTATCCTCATGTCATCATCAATTAAAATCTCACCGACGAGTAGAGTCTTCCGTCTCCCTCCATGCACAGAAAACGATTTGTGGCGACTCCTCTGATGACCACACAGCCTGGACCCACCGGACGGATCTCCATCAGACCTGCGGATCAGACCATCAGTTGTGATCTTCTCTCACAGATCATCATAATCTGCACGTTTTTTTTTAAAAGCCTGACTTACTGTGCAGTGTTTGGTCCTCAGAGACCTGGATCTGACCATCCTCACTGATCAGCAGGTGTACTCCCTGTCTGGCCGCATACAGGTGCCTGAGCCGAACCACCTGGCCCCAGCCTTGGGTGATGTGGGGCCCTTGCAGCTGAGCAGGCATGCACACAACTCCAACAGCGAAAAACATGTGAAAACAACACCCAGAGAGCACCAGGAGCAGGAGCATGATTGGCTCAATCCTTTTTTCAGCTCTGTTTCTCAGGCTGCAGTGTGCGGTGTGAAGTCAGGTAGTCCGATCGTTATTGAGCCCTTTAAACGTGGCTCTTATCAGCTGCAGATAAGCCTCCTTCCCAAAGCCAGTTCCAAGAAACACAACACAACACACCCCTGCACCATATCCAACTGAAGCACAGCTCCCTGCGGGCCCCTCAGCTGACCGCAGCAGGCTGAGTGAAAAACCAACATTAACTTGAACGCTATTATCTTTCAAAAACTAAATGACAACAATCACTGTTAGGTAAATTGATTGGTGCCTTATTCAGGGGCGTCTCCAGGATCTCTGGGCCCCATTAAAATATCTCACATTGGGCCCCTTCACCACAGCCTGTAGTCATGTCACATCAACATGTAGCTGCAGGATCTGGGGATTGAACCTCTGACCTTCCTGAGACAACTTACTCTAGCCGCCCCATTTCTAAACTCACCCAATATTTGGTGTCTAGGACTACTATTTTATTGCCTTGGTATCAAAACAAGCATCGATATGGTTTGATTTGTACTAGAGTAAAATATATAAAATTCCAGTATAGATTTCTTTTGTGCATGTTACACCCTTAAAAAATGCAGTTTTAATTAAACAATAAAGCAACTTTTTGGCATTTGAATCATTGATAAGCCTCTAATTGGTCTGAGTGATGGAAAATTAACAAGCCCCTGCTGCAGCTATACATGGTGTTCAACGGTGGCCGCCATGCACTTTCCTAAACTACTTTTGCCGTCTAGGCTTCCATCCTGGTCATGACACTGTAAGCTTTAAATTCTCAGTCCCACATTACTGGCAATGTACAATTAACAAACAATTAAAACAATATATAATTATTTTCTTACAACTAATGGTGAGTGTTTTTCTTTACATAATCTGGTTATCATTGCTTCACATTAAGATGAACATGTTTTCCCATGACAACAGTTTAGTGGACTTTTGGTCAGGATTTAGAGTCCACCATAGCACTGAGACTGCATTGGTTAAAGTTTTGAGTGATCTGCTTCTGGCTTCAGACAGTGGACTGATCTCTGTGCTTGTCTTGTTAGTTCTTAGTGCTGACACAATAGACCATCACATCCTGTTACAGACTATAATAATTTTATGGCATTACAGAAACCACTTTTAGTGTAGGTTTATATCAAATTTAAGCTCAATCTCAGTTTTTACATGTTAATGATATATCTTCCACACACAGTTTAGCTAGCCATGGAGTTCCACAAAGTTCAGTGCTTGGACCAATTCTCTTTTTATTATAAATGCTTCCTCTGGGTAATATTTTGAGGAAACACTTCGTACATTTTCATTGTTATGAAGATGATACTCAACTATAAGTATCAGTTTCACCAGATGGCTGTTAAACATGAGTCTGGTTTTGCCTAAGTTTTTCCTTGCCACTGTATCTTTAATAAATGTTGCTTAGCGCTCATGATGGATTAATGTTGGGTCTTTGTTAGTAATATAACAAATCTGGGAAGTATATTTATTTTAAGTATGTCAGCCCTCCCCCACAATGACAATGTTAAATTCATCTATATTTTTAAGTCTTCTCTGACTGTTTTCAAGAGCCTAGGGCCATTCAGTTCTAAAACTGTGTCAATTAGAGATCTTATGTTGACTCCAAGGTACATGCCCTGTGGCCTCCATGCAACAGGAGTTTGCGACAGATGTGAAGCAAATGTGAGGTTGTTTAGAGGGATAATCTTGCTCTTAGACCAGTTGATTTTGACCAGAGATCTGACCAAAATCCCTAATGAGTTTTAGAAGATGTTCTGTTCTGGATGAGACAATGTCAATAAGATGTCATCCAAATAGAGGTTTGCATTGAGGCTCAAGTGCTTATGATGTTAATATAATATTGGTGAAGCTGGGCATCCCTGCCTGGTGGATCTTACAAGTTGGAATGGGAGAGAAATTAATCCATTTGTTTTGACACATGCAACAGGGTTATGGTAGAGGGAGAAATTTCAGAAGTATATGAAGAAGATAAGATCATTCTATCCTGTTGAGTGCTTTCTATGGAGCAAGCAGCATCCTTTCTGTAAGATCTGAGAAGTGGCCAAGGACGTTCTTTATAATGTCTGATTTAAGTAAAAGGTGTAGTTGTAATTGTACAGGTGGATGTTGGTGTTTAACACCCGGTAGGTTATTATGGATATTACATGTATAGGTATGTGTACATGTATGTACGTATTTATATTTTTTATGTGTATATGTATACATTATGTCTTTTTCTCACGCAGACCGCTTTTATATCACAATTTGAAACCAATATATATGTGGTAAAAAAATGTTTACCACAGAGTTTTTTTTTTTTTTTTTTATTACTTGTAAAAATGTACATGTAGTATATAGGTAGGTAAATGCATCAATTTGTACTCTTCATTATTTTTGTAACCATGCAATTTAGAATTGGCAACCCCCATCCCCTCTCCTTCCATGTCTCTGTCCCAGCCATGTCCTGTTGAGGGGCAGCTGGACATCTGATCTGAGGGGTGCTCGGTTAGATCCTCAGTGCCTTCCTCACAGTACGAGGGGTGTCATTATTATAGTTTGTCTATGTTTTTGTTTTGTTGCATATGGTTGTCTTTGTGTGTTTTATTCTGCCCTGTCAAGATGTCTTTAGTTCTATAATTTTGAAAAACTAAATAAAATAATAATTCATAATATATCTAAGATCCTGTCGCAATACGATGCAGAAAAACTAGTTCATGCACTCGTTACCTCCAGATTGGATTATTGTAATTCTCTTTTGTCAGGGTGCTCTGGCAAATCTCTAAAGACTCTTCAACTAGTCCAGAACGCTGCAGCTCGTGTACTGACCAGAACCAGGAAAAGGGACCACATCACTCCTGTCCTGGCTTCTCTGCACTGGCTCCCTATACAGTCTAGAATAGAATTCAAGATCCTTCTTCTCACTTACAAAGCTCTAAATGGCCAGGCACCATCTTATCTTAAGGAGCTAGTAGTGCCGTACTGTCCCTCGAGAGCGTTGCGGTCCCGGAGTGCAGGCCTGCTGGTGGTACCTACAGTCTCTAAGTGTACTATGGGGGGTAAAGCCTTCAGTTATCGGGCTACTCTCCTCTGGAATCGTCTTCCAGCCGGGGTCCAGGAGGCAGACACAGTCTGTATTTTTAAGAATAGACTAAACTTTCCTTTTTGATAAATCTTATAGTTAGGGCTGGCACAGGTATAGACCCGCTCCTAGGTATGCTGCTATAGGCTTATACTGCACGGGGGAACTGGCACCTTGAGCTTCTCTCTCTCACTCTCTCTCACTCTCTGCACTGCACTGCATTCACATCATATTACTCCCCCCCCCCACCCACCCCCCGTCTGTGCCTTAAGCTATACAAATAATGATTGACTGACTGATTTAAAATATGCATCACTTTTCTGTTGTGTAAAAAAACAAACACCCAAAAATATTTTTAAACCTGAAATACATTTTGCAGCAAAGCTTGCAGGTGTGTTTGATGCATCAATACTTGAGGGAAAAACACAATAAGCATTAAATTCAATGTGTTCCAGCTGTAGTACGAGTAGTATTAACAGATGTAGTAATATAGTAAAGCTGTTTGTTGTCTGTTGTTGTAAGGCGAACACAGTGCGCTGCATGTGTCTTATATTGATCCTCAGGTTACATAAAGTTCTACCAAAAGCACTCAAACTTCACCTTTTATTTGCGCTCAGGGTAAAGTCTACACATTGGTCTGAATCCAGACTGGGTCAGTGTACACTAATAAAACAGACTTCTTTCCGCTCTTATCGCAGTCTGCCCTGCAGTGTTTCCGCCGCGTGGCCTTGTCGTTACATACAAGCAGGTTAAACTGTAACGGAGAGCAAACATCAAAGTCAACGCCTTGCACACATTTCAGAAAGCTTATCTCTCTGTTACATTTCAGATTCATCATCAGATCCTCTCTGAGAGAAGACACTGTTGCTGCCAACTTTGAGTCCCCCCCCCTCTGTTTTTGGCTCTGCACAGATTCTGTCACTAGATGGCAGCCTACAACAGGAATCGATCTGTCAGAGGCAGCTGTCTATTTATCAAATCCAACAGACCATGGCTTCTAGGCAGGGGCCAACAGGCTAACACCCCCCCCTGTGGCCACCCCTCCAAAAGGAAGAGTCCCCCTCATAACACATACACAGTATTTGACTCAACAACCGGACTCACAATCTAGTATTAAATACTGTGACTGAAACAAATGCAAATCATGGTATTTAATGATGTGTGCTATTATTTGGCATAATATTTATATATTTAAAGCAATCATCTTTGTCTATTTTTCACAATAAAAACCCAAAGTCACACTCCACGAGCATGGTCAAACAGCCACGCGTGTGGAAAAGAGAGGAAGACAAGAGGAGGGAAGAAAAGAAATGAAAGAGAAGAGGAGAACGACAGGGAGATGATGCTTAGGTTTAAGAAAAGTTTAAGAAAAGTGCAGATGAAATAAAACTTCTGATTCTGAGTATGTAAAGCTATTTCGTTAGCATGCTCTTCAGAGTTGTATTTACAGGATAGTCAATTTCTTTAAAATATGCCATAAAAAACCCTTTAGCTAATGTCTCACTAATAGATATTGATCCAAATAGTGTCTCCTTTATTTATTCATAGATTACAACAGCCATGAACATCAAAGTCAATGTAGACCACAGTTAATATTAAAATAATTTAAAGCTGCTGTAAGGAGTTATAGCTGGTTAAGAAATAGACTGAAATAATTACCAGTGTGTTTTTAAGAGCTACAATAGCAAACAAGACCATTAGCTACAAGATTTGTTATTTCTGTATTGTCTGGAAATGCTGAAGCAGGGTCGGTGTTAGACGAGGTGATTTGAATCTTGCTGGACAAACAGATTATTTTACATTCTTTTTAAAGACAGCAGGAGCAGTTTTTTTTTTTTTTACACAGAAT